TTATACGTCGTTTAAGATTATGTCCACCTTACAAGTGGAACCTGTATACTATATTGACAAATTATTCCGTGGACCCGGGTTACACTATACAAGGTGGACTCGGGTCCAAATGTTCATAATTTACCTTTTAAAAATTCACAATTTGTATACTACAAACACATCATGTTAACATATATGTAATTGATTACCTTGTTTTATATTCACAAGTTCTTTTCAAGTACTGCAGTCACACAATATTAACAGATTAAAATTTGATAACTTTGTATTGTATTCAGAAATTCCCTTCTACAACTATTATGTGTTTTGACTTAATTAGAAACACAATTTATATTCAAGAACTTTGCAATTTCAATCTTAAAAATACACAATTTATACGTCGTTTAAGATTATGTCCACTTTACAAGTGGAACCTAGTACATGATATAACAACTCATACCATATTCCGTACAATTTGTATTTGGATTGAAATGGGAGAATTTTGAGGATGCAGCATAGACAATGCGGTTAGCGTTAACGGATTATATTAGCGAATTTGACGAGCGAATTATATCAATGGTTGATAAAAAGATATTTGAAAAAATTAGTTGTGTAGATTAACATGTAAAATAACCTAAGGGTATACATAATAATAATAATAATAATAATAATAATAATAATAATAATAATAATAATAATAATAATAATAATAATAATAATAATAATAATAATAATAATAATAATAATAATAATTGTTTTAAAAAATAAAAAAATAAAAAAATATAATTAAGCCAATCATATTAACTATTTGGAGATTTATTGACAAATAGAGTATTCAAATCACACAACAAATTGAAGTATGAAACTATCTCGCAATGTTCTTCTTTGGCAATCGACAATTAGCTCTTCAATATTAGTATATATTTAATATTTTATGCCCTAATTTTTATTTGCTCTCCCTTATGCTCCGTATTTGGTTTCAACCATACCTATACAATTATTTTATTGACAATTATAATCAATCTTGACTATATTATCTTGCATTTGTAACCTTAGAATTGTCTATTTAAATACGCAAATTTAACATTCAATTATCTATGCATGAACAATTCCAATATATTTTTTCTTTGATATACTTCAAAGTACTTATTTAAAAAAAAAAAAAAAAAACATTGGCATTATTTCAATCGCGCGATGCGCGTACAAAATTAGTATATAAATACACACCTAATAATTAATTACCTAAAACACATGAAAGTGACATGACATATTTATCAGAGATGATAAGTTAATCTATATTTCATTATTTCTCGCCTCCAATTTGTCGTTGTTGTTATATGCTTAAGACACTCGTGCCCCTCGTGCGCTGATTATGGAATAGCTTTTTTATTCATATTCTCCATTTATCTTTTTATTTTTTAATACATAATACAGTGTCTTCTCATCTCAAATTTTTATCAAAATTATTATGTGAATTTCAAATACTTTTTGCTCTATTTAGGGATATTAACTATAACCTAAAACCGACGAGCTAGCTAGTTCAATAGAACAAAAAATTAGTAGGTTAAGGTTCAAAAAAGTCAACTTAATGAAGAAACCAAACTAGTTAAGCAACCAGACTGGTCTGATTACTTAAAATAAAAGAAATAGTAAATTTTAAAATTAAAAGAATAAAGTTACAAAACAGCAAAACCGATTTTTTTTCCTCAAATATGATGAAAAAATTTTATTTGCTCAACATTGGCATGGACATTAAGTAACATATTTTGGAGTTCTTTTTAATTAAAATTTGAATAAATAACTAAATAAAATTATTTCGATCTTAGGAGAAAGTACAAATACACTACCACTTATTATATAGCTGTGTGGATCATATTATCAAATAATATACTTTTATTATATTAAAAATATATATTGTATTAAAAATATATTATTTCATATAATGTACATTTACTATACGAATAATGTGTTTTTAATATATTAAAAATAAACTTTTTTTTGTCATAAAAAAAAATGAACTTTTTGTTATGATTCACGTAGAATTGTGTGGACCATTCACATAATTTGTGACTATAAGCTTGCAGTTCGGGATATTTCTTAATTCCTTTGCAAATAAAAACAAATATGAAAATGTTTTATTCTCTTTCTACCCTTTACCTTCTTTAAAATATCAACGCCATTTCCAACCTTGCAAGAACACTCTCAAGTCTGTCTCTCTCTCTCTCTCTCTCTCTCTCTCTCTCTCTCTCTCTCATCCATGGCGTTCCTTCCAAAGCAACTCTCCGTCCTTCTCTTCTCTCTCTGCCTCTTCCGCCTCTCTGTCGCGCAAGATCTTGTCGGTGAATTCAATCCCTTAACCTCGTTTACGGATGTCCACGACGTCCTCGCTCAGTACGGCCTTCCGAAGGGTCTCCTCCCCGACGTCGTCAAGTCCTACGATCTCGCCGACGACGGCTCCTTCACCGTCGACCTCTCCACCACCTGCTACGTTCAGTTCTCCAACCTCGTCTACTACGATAAGACCATCACCGGGAAGCTCAGCGAGGGCAAGATCTACGATATAACCGGGATTCAAGTCAAAAAGGCGTTCATTTGGCTCTCCGTCACCGGAATCGACGTCCGCGCTGACTCCGGCGAGCTCGTTTTCCACGTAGGGTTTCTCTCCGAGACCTTGCCTGCTTCCCAATTTGAGACTATACAATCCTGCAAATCGCACCTCTCGTCAAGCTCAGGTAAAACGTGAATTCAATTTTGAAAATATTTCTGCTGATTTGGAGGAGATTCTTCATTTTTCCGCTCTAATTGCAGGTCAGAGCCGAGTTCAGATAGCTTGAACGATGAAACCGATGCGTTTTCTGCAGAAGAGAAAGGACTTTGGGACATGTGAATTTCCACGAGAAAATCTTTCGAAACGGATCGGACGGTCCAGATTTGTGTGCACCTGTGTAATCCAATAATGCTACCGTGTGATCAGCTTCTGTCAATGCATTAATTAAATAAACTTGTTTCAATGTGTTTATATTGCAATTGGAGAATTTTTACAATACAATACTTTTTTTATTACTACTGACTCTTAATTATCTGATCATAATTATTTTCTCAATCTGCTATTTTATCTGTTTTACAATACAATACTTTAATTTGAAGTTTGAACATGAAAATATCGTTTTACAAAATGGTTAGGTCACCGTCAGTTAGGTGCACAATATAAATGTTATAAATTGACTATGGATAAGTAAGTGCAAGGACAAGAAGGCACAATTGGGGCGTTTGAAAGATAAAAAGATTAAACACCCCCAAACAAAAAAAAGTTGAGTACACTCAATTTAATTTGTTGGGAATTTTTAAGCCTAAACAACATAAGATCAGTGTTGTACCGATATAATTACGTAGTGTTTTAAGAAAAGATCAATGTTTAAATTTTGGCGGCATAATATAAAAATTATAATCAAAGTGAGCAGATTCATTGTAGGCATCAATATTTGACTCTATCTACTGAACTATTGAGTTATCGTGATTTACATTTTCTCAAATGTTCTGTCAGATTAAGAAGTAGAAGTTTTTAGAGTTGAGGATTCAACCTAAAATAACTTAACAAAAACAATTGATAAAAAGTTTGTACGCCCATTGGGACTCATCGGTTGAAACAAATTTAAAAATATTACCACTATAGTTATACATCTAATATTAATGGAAGAGAAGTCACTAGTGTTGATATATTAATGGAAGAGAAGTCACTAGTGTTGGTGATTTTTTGGATGTTTATTTAGAACAATTGCTTTCTAGAATGGTTTTTGACCTGAGGATAGATATTTTTTATGGATATTATTTCGAATAATTTATCTTGTAAAATGATAATTGATGGGATTTTTTTTCTAGCTGATGTTAAAGATGTATTTTTTTAAAATGTAATTGATTTTTCAAGTCTCCTGGACTTAATTGTTTACATTTTTTTTTCAAATATTGATTGGTAGGTGAGGGTAGGCATAGTGTGAACTTGGATAGAAAGATTCCTTTGTTTCATAATTTAGTAAGAATTATTATTATTATATAGTTAAAAGACTTGTGGCATGTACTATACATGGGATATGATAACGTTAGCGGACAATTATCCAGTTAAACAATTTTTTATAGAGAATAATTGAGAGTTGGAAGGACATGCATTTTGTCTTGGGGTGAATTTGCCGGGTGTTGGATACAGAAAGAGCTTAGCTTGCATGTAATTTTGGATACTAACGAGGGAAATTCCAACTTGTGGAGTTCGACTCTCTCAAGTCCAACTCTTATTTGATTTTTTTATTTTTAACCCGAGACGAACTCTCTCAGGCTCTGTTTGACAAATATAGCTGAAAAGTTATAAGCTATGAGCTGAAAGTTGAAAAGCTATAAGTTCGGAGCTAAAAATTGAAGAGCTGTTATGATTGAAAGTGTTTGGTAAAAGTAGCTTTTTGATAAACTGATAAATGTAAAAAGACTAAAAATGACATCTTAATAAAATTTAAATTAGTTTGTTTACATATTAAAATTTAACATTTTGTTTTTATAAAAAATTAACATTTTGAAATAAAACTATTAGCATAATCATAATCTAACATTTTATAATGAAGTAGTAATATTGTTGCAAACGTCATAATAATAATAATAATAATAATAATAATAATAATAATAATAATAATAATAATATTTATGGTGAAAGTTGCGGATAAAGGAGGAGAAAAAATGATTTTAATTAGGAAGGATAAATATGTCATTTCTTTAAAATAATAAGTATAATGATGAAAAAAAAAAAAAAAAAAAAAGCTAGGAGCTTATTTTGAAACGCTACTACCTAAGATAGCGTTCCAAACAAAGCCTCAAACTCAGCTTTAAACCCACCCCCCCTCTCTCTCTCAAAAAGAAAGTCATTTTTTAAATTGTTTTACCTTCCCCATCTACCAACATTTATTTGCTTTACCTTCCCCATCTACCAACATTTATTTGCTTTAAAACCCGAATTTGCTTTGCTTTAATACGTACAACTTCCCCATCTTTGAGCACCACCACCATACGAAAGTTAATCTGGGAAGAGAAGAGAAGAAATAGCGTTGGCAGGTCTTCATCTTTAGTCAACCAAAACATCATTTCCGATCATCTATTTTTGTTGTGTTCTCTCCCTTATATCTCAACGAAAAGATCAGAACATAGGTAAGAATATATTTTTTAATTTTTTTTGTTCGAACTGTATTGTGCTTTTTTAAAAACTAAGTAGAGTCAGACTTCAGAAGTTCGTTTGATAAATCTTCCCGACGTTACACGAGGTAGCATGAGCATGAGTATAACGCGTTGCTCGACATTGAAGCATACAACACGGTCACATCCATCAAACTGAAAATGATCATATATTTGTTCCCATTGTTCGTCATAGAATATTAATGTGCAGTCGAAGTAGAGTTCTAGTTTCCTATCTCTAACCATGAATATTAGTGGCGCATCAACTTCGATGGAGCTGCGCAGAAATTCACTCAATCTTTCATGCTATTTTTCAATAAGAGGAGGTAGTAAGTAATGGCATTTATTGAATGACAATTTGAATCTACATTTTTTCCTTACCGCGAAAAGCATACTTGTATATAAAAATCTACATCGCTCTAGTTGATCAAACTCATATTTTGGTGGTATTGTAGAACGGGCGGACACAGTGATGGACTACAATATATAAAGGAATTAGTATGTAATAGTCAAATATTTCATGGAATTTATGCACTTTAAATGTAATGTTACAGCGATCAAAACGTCGAGTATTTCTCCTTTCATGAAATTTATTAAATTCTCTCTTTGGACTATAAGAGTCAACACTAAATAAGTAACATTCGAAAATGAAGAAACATGTATGTCGGAATAGCACAATGTCTCCAGGGTATAAATCATTTTCCGTCTTGAAATCACTAATTCTCGTTGTAAATTGCATATCTTCGACAAAAACTCCTATCCATGCGCTATGATGCCATAGAATTGCTTTTGTCATTAGATGTTGCATTAGATGGCGATGCGTACAATTGAGAATTCTCTATTAACAAGTTTATAGAGTATGTCAGAACGGTGATTTCTATTGCATGTAGTATTACACTGAAAGTAGATTGGTAAGGCCGGAATTACCATATGTAGGTTAAATGTAACTTGAATAGTGAACCACGTCGTAGTGCAGTCACTCACATCAGGCATATGCATTACATCGTTGCAAGCTAGTAACAAAATGAAAAATAGAAATGAATCTAAGTGATGCTTTCTATCGGCATTATTACTTAACGAAATGCGCTACAGGAATGCGAATTTACTTAAGTGAAGGGAAACTTATTTGTCATAGATTTTCAAATATGACCAGAGCATATCGTTCTGCATTTTCTTTATTTGCAAAAGACATTGATTCGGGCACGGGTAAACCTAACATCAATAGATATCGACCCCAACTACGAGTGTAATAAGATAAAAAAGTATTACAGAGTCTTTGATCTACATGTGCATACACAAGTTTTCTTCCATGGATGGTTATTGTCTGATACAACTGTCGCTGACAAAACAGAGGAATGAGTCTTAGAACTATTTCAAAATCATCGAATAGATCCAATATAAATGTTATAAATTGACTATGGATAAGTCAAATGCAAGGACAAGAAGGCACAATTGGGGCGTTTGAAAGATAAAAAGATTAAACACCCCCCCCCCCCCCACCCCCAAAGTTGAGTACATGCACTCAATTTAATTTTTTGGAAATTCTTAAGCCTAAGCTAACAACATAAGATCAGTGTTGTACCCGATAAAATTACGTAGTGTTGTATTAAGAAATCAGTGTTGTACTCGATACAATTACGTAGTATTTTAAGAAGAGATTAATATTCGAACTTCGACGGCATAATGTGGGAATTTATACTTAAAGTGAGCAGATTTATTGTGCGCACCGGCATTTGATCCTATCTGCTGAGCTATTGAGTTATTGTGATTTACATCCACTCAAATGTTCTGTCAGGTATTTACATCCATTCAAATGTTCTATCAGCTCGGGATATGAGAGGTTCTTGGAGTTAGGGATTCAACTTTGTGGGAAAAGAAATGAAATTATTTCAAGCAATGATTGAGAATAACTTAACAAAAACAATTGAAAAAAAGTTTGTATGCCCATTGGGACTCATCGGTTGAAACAAATTTAAAAATATTACCACTATAGCTATACATCTAATATTAATGGGAGAGAAGTCACTAGTGTTGATGATTTTTTGGATGTTTATTTAAGGGAAAATTGTAAAAAATGTCACTCTATAATATGCCAATTATCAATGTCACTCTTGAATTATGAGTGGTGTAAATGTTGTCCCTCAATTATTAAAATGGTGCACATATAGCCCCTCTCGTAATAGACATGTGGTTCCCCACCGCTGTCTATCGCTGGTACTTCGAATCGAGGGAGGGAAAAAATAACTAAATTGCATATTTACTCCGACTTAACAGTGTCGTACACTAACGGGGAACCACATGTCCGTTACAGGAAGGGCTATATGTGCACCGTTTTGATAATTGAGGGACAACATTAACACCACTCATAATTCAGGGGTGACATTGATAATTGACATATTATAGAGAGGCATTTTTTATAATTTTCCCTTTATTTAATTGCTTTCTAGAATGGTTTTTGACCTGAGGATAGATATTTTTTATGGACATTATTTCGAATAATTTATTCTGTAAAATGATAATTGATTGGATTTTTTTTTCTCTAGCTGATGTTAATGATGTATTTTTAAAAATGTAATTGATTTTTAAGTCTCCTGGACTTAATTGTTTACGAATTTTTTCAAATATTGATTGGTAGGTGAGTGTAGGCATAGTGTGAACTTGGATAGAAAGATTCCTTTGTTTCATAATTTAGTAAGAATTATTATTATTACATAGTTAAAAGACTTGTGGCATGTACATAGGATGGATAACGTTAGCGGACAATTATCCAGTTAAACAATTTTTTATAGAGAATAATTGAGAGTTGGGAGGACATTTGGTCTTGTGGCTGATTGGGTAAAGATTCTCCGGAGTGTAGACATTGATATGCCTACTTACTTCCATTATATATTTTGGCTTAGAAAAAATTTCCAAATACAACATAAATTTGGGATTGAATAGATTAAATATGCCAAGCACTTGTACCTCAGATGACATGTAGTGACTCTCTTATATGGGAGGTCATGAGATTGAGCTTCATTGGAGACCGTATTGACTCTTTGTGCTTCAAAAAATTGAGACAGTATAAATGAACATATACTACAATATAATAGAGTGAGTAGCTTTCAAAAAATAAATGAAATATAATTATTGTATATGAAAATTGTGAAATTGTTATAATGTATCTTTTTTCATTAATTTTCATCTGTTTGATCTCAACTCATCCTAATATGTCTACACAATTACACAAAAAAATGACGGCTGCACTAAAACATAGAACATCTCTCTCTCTCTCTCTCTCTCTATATATATATATATATATATAGCGTCATGTCATGCAAAATAATTGAATTGCTTTCCACTGCAATTTCTTAGAAGCTTCCTCTTTGTTGGTGTCCACATGGAGATCATAACTTTTTGCTCTACGAAGAGCCGTAACATACAATTGCACTATTTTTTTTTTTTTTTTTTTTTTTTGGTTTTAAACGAATAGAAAATAGGTCAAGCTATTCTCTTTCTAATAAATACTTTAAAAAAAAGAAACCACATCTCAGATATATTTTATATTGAAAAATTTACCAAAAATATTTTAAAATTATTTTCATAATTACAAATTTTTTGAATTTGGACTATATTAAAAACAGAAAACAAAATTTACAAAAAAAAAAAATGAAAAAAATCTATTAAAACCAGCTATCCGGAACGTCTTAGAGATTTGAGTTTCGATTTGCCATTTTTCATAATCGGAAATTGCAAATTCAAAACTAGAACCGAACCATGGTCACCCCTAACAGGACCATTATGCATTGTTGTCCCCAATGGACACCGGTGATAGAACAACCGTTAAAAAGGCTGCTTCAATTCGTCCTCATCATCGGTTCCTAATTCGAATAACATGGTGTCCTTGGAAGAATCGTCTTCCTACATTACTCGCCCCCTGGCCGCCGTTAATGTAGTACACCGCCAACACAAGATTTTATTTTAGTAGCAAGGATTGAAGTCATTTGTTGTTGGAGAATAAATTATTTTCCATATCGTCATCAGCTCTAGACTATACTAAGAGCTAAGTATTGTTAAGAGATATTACCTTATTTCTATGTTTCGTTATGTATACATATGCATACTATTAAATTATCATGGATATATCGATGTATGGCTAATGTAGAAATTTTTTTATGGCGAGAAGGATTCTGGAAGTTAGTTTACGAACTTTATAATACAAAGTTTCGTTGTTGCTATATTAAGAAGTTATAATTTTCGCCAGAAGAGAATGAATTGATCAACTTTGCCAATTGCCACAACAAATATTGTCAACAATCTCGAGAGAAAGATAAATATTTTCGTTGCTAAATAAAATATTTGTATATTCATATATTTATGTGATAGATGATTATTAAGTTTCTTTTCTTAAAAACATGTCTTTATCGAATATTTAAATATGCATAGTGATTAGCTTAAGTGGATAATACATATAATGGTTGTTTTGTGACGATTTGACTTGTATCACCCACAACATCGTGACAATGTGGGTTCAAGTTGTTGTTGCTAAAAGGTTAGCTTTACATATTTAAATTTCCGTTAAATTATTTTTATATCTAACATGTAATATTAAAGGCACATTACCTATGCCTAGTTGTAACTTTGTGCTTCAATTCATATCATTGCTTATCTTTTGCTCGAATTTAAGAACATCTATTTGGTCAAATTTGCTTTTGTAGCTTCGTGAACCATCATAATACTTGTGCTCCAAATTTGTGCTCTTTATAATAACTTGTGCTCAAAATTTGTGTTATATTATTTATAACTTGTGCTCCAAATTTGTGCTCTTTGTAACTTGTAATCCAAAGTTGTGTTCTTTATAATTTGTGCTCCAAATTTAAAATCTATGTTGTCAACATGATTTTTTCTTAAAAACCTTGCTGCATGTAAACTTGTATTCGAAGAAGCCCATTGCTTCTAATTTTTCGAAAAACTCATCTGCTTCTAATTTTTCGAAAAACTCATTAGCTGGAAATTTTTACTGCTCTTAGTTGACTTTCAAAGTTTCTTTGCTTTATAAATATTCTCATATTCTTTTCTCCTTATTTGAAATCTTCAAAAATCTTTGTTGTTTTCAAAATCTTTGTTACTTAAAAGTAATTTCCTAAAATCTTTACGGGTTCTAAAATCCCTTTTAAAACTTACAAGTAAGATTTGAAGTACAACTTTTCAAATTAAAATACACTTTTCCCCATCAAAATTTATAACATATATTCATAACATGCAAAGTTTTGTTCTATTAATAGATTTTTTATCATCAACCTCCCAATACTTGAGAAGAGTAATTTGTCAGTGTAACGCTAATTAAAGTACTAATAATTTATGAACATAACAAATAAGATAAGATGCAAATATAATGTGTCATTTACCATTTACGTACCATCAATTAGGTCTAAGGCCATGGAAACCACCTCTGTGGAAATAAAGTTGAGGATGTGTGAACTAAGTTCTCATCCAAACTTATCTTAACTATAATAAAATTATATGGTTTGGGAAGTAATTAATGTTACAATTATTATGTTATTATAAATATAAATAAAAAATAGAAAAAAATAAAAATATTTTAAATTGTTTAATATAATAATATTTTGAGCTTCCATTGGTCAAGTATTTATTATTTTTATAGAACACAAAATTACAATTAAAATTAAAATTTTGTATGGTTAATATAATCTCTAATTATGTACATATTCAAATAAACTTAGAAGAGAATTTACATAATTACATTGATTTATTCCTAATTGTATTTCATCTATATTATAATTTTCACAATACGAATAATAACTAAGATAATTACATTTAGAAAGTAAATTTTAAATTTTGTAGGAGTAAATTTAAACTCTAATTGAACATATTTTTTTATATGATTATATAATATATTCTTTATGCACATGTCATTCCATAAACCCACATGTCATTCTATAAGCCCAACACCACTTTTTTGTGGAGATAATTCAAATGGATTTTTTTTTTCTTTTAAAAGTCCTAAGTTTAGAAATTTGTATTTATGGCTCAAATGATTTTTTTTTTTAAATTCTGAAGTTCAATAATTGACCCACGGCCCGCAACATTTGTTTTCTTCATCCCTTCTCGCTTCTGCCATTTCTTTGAAGCATTTGAGAAGATAGAAAAGTACACTCCACAATCTCTACCTGTAGAAGGTGGTCTGGCTCCATTTTTTCTACCATTTTCCATGATCCTTCTATTTTGTTTTATATTATTATATTAAACAATTTAAAATATTTTTATTTTTTCAATTTTTTATTTATATTTATAATAACATAATTTTTTTCCGTGCATCGCGTGGGTGAATTACTAGTTTTTCTAAAGTAGCCAAAGCAATGGAAGTGTGTTAGTTACATTTTACTACCAATTATCTTTGTTGAAATATAGCTTTATCATATATATTGGAATGGGAATGTAGGAAACCAAGGGAAATCATAGTCATTTAAGTAGTACAGGTTACATTTATTTTTCACATTAAAACCATTTGTCAGTACTTAAGCTCTCAAGTGTATAAATATTCAAACATTGCACCTTCATTTTAACTATGTATCTTCTACCGAATAAATTCCATTCCACCGGGCCAAAGCACATAAATTTATTTGATAGGAGTTCACATTTCACTTCCATAAACGCATACGTATACCACTATTTTCAAAAACAAACACCAAAAAGTAATAAATAAAAAATACAAATACAAATTTAACAAAGTTATAAGCAAATTCATTTTTAAAAAATCTACAAAATAGCTTTTTATTATGATATTACATTTAATTCTTTAAACTGTAATTACCTGAACTTCTTATCTGTTTGTTCAATTACGGTTATTTTTTCGAATTTCATTAAAAGAATTCAAATTCCAATACTTGAAAAGGTACCACTTAGCATTGTAGGGTGGAGAATCCAACGACATCTTCGACAACGCAGCTATAGGGTCTTCATAAAAAATATAATGCATAACTGAAAGTGCATATCATTAGGTTTTAAGATTTGAGGACTAACCTGTAGATAATTAAGGATTAGGGAAGAGTCCGAAAGAGGAAACTGGCAGCAGATCGGTCGGAAAGAGGGACGGTGGGAATGACGGCTTTGGTGCGACAACAGAAGTGGTAGCGATGCGGCGAGGGTTTAATTGATTTAGGACTTTACTAAATATCGATTGAAAAATATGGTTACTAAAAATCAGAGGTTACCTAAAGTTCTTAACCAATTAAATCCGTTGAAACTAGAAAAATAACAAAAGAAAAATATGAAGTGACAAAAATGCCCTTACTAAAAATAGAAAAAATCATAAGAAGGACCAAAAGTGTCCAAAAAATGATAGTCTGGGATGTAAAATGGCAAAAACGATAATCTGGGACTAAATTTAGAATTGCCACCAAAGACAAGGGACCTCTGATGGAATTAACTCAAAATTTCACCGAGGGAAGAAAAATAAATTTGTCTACAGGAATTGAAAATATAGTTTGGGAGGGAATTGAATACTTTTAGGTTTTTTTTAGACAAATCTATAATTGTGTGGATTTGACATCATTTAGATAAACATATGTAAAGTACTAATGTCATTATCTTCTTTTCAAATTTGACCAAAAACCTGTCACAAAGATAGAAGGCAATGCAATTACCTTCTTTTCACCTTTTTTTTTTTTAAGTTAAGAAAAATGCAATAGTATCGCCTTTCTTTATTACTATACACTTTTATATATTAATTAATTAATTAGAGCTATAAACACCATTAATTCGTTTAATATATATTATTATAAGATCTTCAAAGCAATTAAAGAATTGATACAGTTCAAGCCCTTTGGTATACCTATAAAGTGCGTGAGTTTTGTGCTTAATGTGAGTAGTTGTTTAAACTTAAAGTGTGTGGGTTTTGTACTTAAGGTGCGTGAGATTTGTGCTTAAGGTGCGTGATTTTTGTGCTTAATGTGCGTGAGTTTGTGCTAAAGGTGCGTAAGTTTTGTGCTTAATGTGAGTAGTTGGTAAAACTTAAAGTGCGTGAGATTTGTGCTTAAGGTGCGTGAGTTTTGTGCTTAATGTGCGTGTGTTTGTGCTTAATGTGAGCCATTTTAAAATCTTAAGTGCGTGGGTTTTGTGCTTAATGTGCTTTGTTCTATGCTTAAGGTGCGTAATTTATGTACTTAAGGTAAGTGATTTGTGGTCTTAATGTGCTTTTGTTTGTGTGCTTAAGGTGCGTGGTGATTTGTGTACTTAAAGTGCGCCATTTTAATGCTTAAGGTGTGTCCAATCGCACAACCGCACGGGAAACCATTCACACACCTGAGCCCTTCCATATATATATATATATATATATATATATATATATATATATATATATATATATATATATATATATATATATATTAGTGCTCAGGTGCGGCAAGGATTCTAGAAATACACCAACAGTGTTAACAACATGCACTAACAGTGTAAGAAAATAAACCACAATGAAATGCAAACAAAAACAAAAAACACTAAAAAATACACAATACACCCAAAAAAATACATCATATAACTCACTACTCCTAATGGTGTATTTTCGAACACTGTATGGTGCGTTTACTCACACCTAATGGTGTGTTTTTTGTAATATGTTTCTAATTTGTGTGTGTATTTGTGGTGCATTTCATAACGTTGATGGTGTATAATCGCTCAATTGTTGGTGCGGTGTCACCTGAACCTAACTCTCTCTCTCTCTCTCTCTCTCTCTCTCTCTATATATATATATATATATATATATATATATATATATATAATCAAAATGAAGTATAATTGCACATGCATTTTAAATTTTAATATTAAATTCTTAAATTATTATTATTATTATTGAAAATGACAATTTTAGTCCTTTAATTATTATAGAAAACGACTAATTTAGCCCATTAATTGTAGAAAAATTGTAAACTCTATGAATTATTATCATATACAAATTTTTTACTTTAATTATACGTAAAATGGAAATTTTCGTCCCAGACTTAAAAATTTTGTTAACATTAATACTTTGTTTTGAATTTCTAAATTATTAAAGGACATATTAGTTTTCGTAATTTTTTTTTTCAAATTCCTTCACTAAATTTTCATATATAAGCTACTCTTATAGTAAAATAATATCTTAAGTTGCACAAAATAATAGTTTAATTGCACTTGATTTAACTGCCACCAAAATAACAAAAAACATTACTGAGTTGTAGTGACCTCTCCTATGTGGGAGGTCACGAGATCGAGTCTCAGTGGATGCGTTGTTGACTCTTTGTGCTTCATTAGATTGAGAAAGTATGTTTGAACAGATACTACAATGTAATAGAGCAATAGCATTCAAAAAAAAAAAAAAAAAAAAAAAAAACTGACCCCTAAACAACAAAAACATCACCGAATTGCAAAAAATAACAACCTAATTTACAAATGATAATATGCACCAAAACAACAAAAATGATAGCATGAGTTTTATGGTTTAACATGCATTTTTTTTTTTTTTTTTGGATGGTTTAACATGCATTAAAACAAGCTTAACCTTCTTTAAAATATTATCACTTTGTCCTCAATATAATAGCTAGTCTATGTTCACATCATAAGCCCAAATATCTTGTTATAAATGTTTGAAAAATATTTATACTTCTTTGCTTTTAGGAATCTCATAAATGATGTCATATACATCTTTCATCTTTGATAGTGTTCAATTCTTAAATTTTTGGTACAAAAGTATCCCATATTTAAACTAAAATTAGACTTTTCCATCATCACGTACACTTAAGGGACTTAACCAATTGCCTAAGATATATCACATAACCATGATTTCCATGCCAATAATCGAAATACTCTATATTGCCACCGAAGTAGTCAATTATGAGATCTACAAGCAATAGTCATTTACAAACAACAAAAAAGAATTTTTTTTTAATAAATTAACATATTAAACTTACAATTCAGTGCATCTTTAATCTTAAGTAACTGTTTGTCATTTTAGATTCTTAGATTCTTCATCAATTAAGACAAACAAGTATTTAGTAAAGGTTTTGTGGTAATAGTAACGCATATATGAAAATTTAGGGAATAGAAATTGAGAAAATTTTATAAAATGACTAATATATCCTTTAATAATTTAGAAATTCAAAATAAATTGTTAATGTTAACAAAATCTATAAGTCTTGGATTAAAACTCTCACTTTATACATAATTAAATGACAAACTTTATATATGATAATAATTTATAGATTGAGTCTATAATATAAGTATAGTTTTTTTTTTTTTTTCAGTACTACTAACTATGTTACAATGCAATATCTGTTCATACTCAACCTACTGAAGTATAAAGAGTCAATATCATATCCACTAAAGCTTGAACCCACAACCTTCTATATGAGAGAGAAACTCGGTGCCACTAAACCACAAAGTCATTGACATATATGTATAATTATTAATAGACTAAAACCGTCATTTTCCCTAAGGGGGCGTTTGGTTCACGGAATCTTGGATTACCCTAGGTAATAGGATTTCCTCTAGGAAGGTAATGTGAGATTTTGGAAATGTAAGATTACCTTGGTTTGGATTGTGTAATATAATATTACCTTGTTTGGTTAAGAGTTATATTTTAGGTTATATGGATCAGTTTACTATAATGTCCTCAATAATATATATATATATATATATATATATATATATATATATATATATATATTATATTTTTATATTTTTATATTTATATGTGTGTATTTATTTATTTATATGAATGTATATCAATACTTAAATATTAAAAAAAATCCTAAATATATAAATATACACACATGTATATTTGATTATATAAATATATATTCATTTCATTATTATTATTATTATTATTATTATTATTATTATTATTATTATTATATAAGGATTAGTTAACAAGGGAAAAGTTGGAATAATTCAAGGTAATCTAAGATTACCTACAAAAATGGGGTAATCACATTACGCTGAAACATTACTGCCACATCAGCTTTCAGGTAATATAACATTACCAGGTAATCTTTAACTTGAACCAAACAAGGTAATATAACATTACCAGACTCATATTACCTAGGTAATCTAAGATGACCCGAACCAAACGCCCCTAATTGTTATTAAAAACAAATATTTAGATTATTTTTAATCAATAAAAGCCTTTTAAAATTGAGAAATATCAGTATAACATATTTTATGTGGAAAAAAAAGGTAAAAAAGAAGAAAAGACAAGGACGGCCTGGGACCCACGTGGGAGTGGTATTTTTTAATTTAATTTAATTTTACTTTTTTTTTTTTTTTTTTTTTTTTTTTTTTTTTCATTTTGCTGTGTTTTCCCTTTGGTTTCACCACCACCACTCTTCGCTTCTCCACTCCACTTCCCTCTCTCCTCGTACGGGCGGAGCTCGGGAGAACGACGTCGTATTCAACAACGAGGAGGAATCGTCAAATCTCGATTACCCAAAATATTGGATTTCTTCTCTTCTGCTTCGCTCGCAGGCGCTTTTTCCTCGTCGTCTTCGTCTCTCAGTGTAAATAAGGGTAACGACGTCGTAGAAGAAGAAGAAGAAGTAGAAGGGAAGATGAGCAGCATGGATTCGGTGCCGTCGAGCGCTGCTCACGGGAATCTCGATGAGCAGATTGCTCAGCTCATGCAGTGCAAACCCTTGTCAGAGCAAGAGGTACCCCCCGGCTTCGCTTTTCGTGGAAAATATTGATGTTTAAGGTCCCATTGTTTAAATTTCCTTTGTAATTTATCCGTTTCTGTGATTCGTTTCTTGATTTCTTGGTTTCATGATGGTCTGATCTGAAATTTGATTCCAAACCCTAAGGGTTCTCGCTATTACTTCCTTTCTTAATTTGGGATTTTCTAAGTGCCAGCTATTGGGGGATTTATGAATCTGGGAATTAGATCCGTTGTTCCATTGGTTGTTGTAGAATTAGAAAAAAACCAATGGAGATGCGAGTGGAAACAATTCGGTCCCATGCCTCTGACTAATTCAGATCTAAATGGAATTTTAGTTTACTCGGGAATTTGGATATGTCTGTAGAATTGAAAAAAGTTTTAATTTATTCGATGTGCTGGAATCGTTAGTTCTACTTAATTGCTGTTCTTTCTTTTAAACCCATCCTTCCTTCCGTTTCTCTTAGTTATGTGGTTCTGAAGTAATAATAGTCTAATATAAGAGAAACAAAAATTATCATAAGTAATTGTACATGGTGATTTGGTGAACGTCCATATAACCTTGCTATTAAAGAGAAAGAGAAGAGTTGGCTCATATAGTCATATAAAGTATAAGATTGGGTGAAGAAGTTACCAATTAAATCTCTGCTGGGGTTTTGATTTTTTTTTTTTTTAAATTACGATTTCCATTTTCCTTTTAGAGCTTAAATTTGTGAAAGGTACTCTAAACAGAGCAAAGTTTGACATTTTTCTTTAATGTTTTATCAATGCATTATGGTCAACCTTGGAAGTCGTAGCTTGCATTCTTTTAAGTTTGTATTTCAGAAGAATGTTTTGTATTGAGCTTTGCAATGTACCTTGCACTGAAAGATATGCATGGAGAATTATATAATGCTGCATGTTGTTGCAGTATTTTTATTTTTCATTTGGTTTCTCCTGTTTTCTTTCAGATAAAAAACTGACCAAAATCTTTCACTTTCAACTGTAGGTGAGGGTGCTTTGTGAGAAAGCGAAAGAGATTCTGATGGATGAGAGCAATGTACAGGTATGTAAATTTCTGGATACTTGTGTTTATCACTCTCTCTTTCTCTCTCTCACTTATATGTGTGTATATATAGATTACTTTTTCATTATTTTTTGTATAATTTCATTTTGTTCAGTGGGCTGAAAGTTGAAATTACTCCTATACGCTTTTGCATTGTTTAATTTCACCTTTGTTGTTGACCTTTTAGAAAATATTTTAGATATTAAAAGTTTTTTTTTTTTTTTTTAAATTAAAAATTTTAAACTTTGATTTCTAAATTTTACCTTTAGCAACTATTACAAGTTCAAAAGTGCTTAGAAACTCAGAGTAAGTTATTTCTTTTCTGCAGCCTGTGAAAAGCCCTGTGACTATATGTGGCGATATTCATGGGCAGTTCCATGATCTTGCTGAGCTTTTCCGGATCGGTGGGAAGGTACCTTCTCTTTTCTATTTTTCTGTACCATATGATTTCCAGGTTTTGGCATGGATGCCTTGCCATTGCAATATGCACAATAAGCACTTGTGATGCTTTTTGAGTTTTTATTCAAAGTTTTAAAATACTTGATGAACTTTTATGAATGGAAATGCTTTATACATTCACGCAAATTCAAGAATTTATTTTTCTTATCTTTTAAGACAATGATATAGGTATTTCAATGATTCAATTGGTATCTTCTGACATCAGTTACATACATAATAATTATCAAACTAGGTGATTGTTTGTGTAAGCTTTCCTATGAGTTTGCATAAGGCTTCTTTTTGAACCTTTTGTAAGTACTGTATTCAGCACCTGTGTTTGCATGGGAGGTGTAAACAAGCCAAGCCGAGCTCGAATAGTCGATACTCGAAGCTCGGCTTGGTTTGAAAAATCGAAGCTTGAACTCAACCGAGCTTTGAGTTTTTGAGTTTGAGCTCGGCTCAACTCAAGCTCGAGCTATTTGACAGTTTGACTAAGCTCGATAGACAAATTCTTTCCTCATTTTTTTAATACAAAAGTTGTACAAATAATATTTTTATAATCAAATATCATAAGCGTAATACCCTTTCAATTACACAAGCCCAAATCACCTTTTCACCATGAATTACAAAGCCTCAAAATAAAATTTCATCCTACTAATAGATTAGTTTCTTGCTTACAGTGATCCAAAAATATACTTCGTGCCTGATTGTTGGGCAGATATCAATTTGAATAACAAATACCTGGAAAAAAAAAAAGAGAAGACAGATTATTGATTATAATGAAAAGTTATGCAACCTAAATCAGAAAATACACAAGTTACTATTAAGTAGTAGCATTTTTTTTTAAATTTTTTTGAAAGCAAGTAGTAGCATTAATAGCAGCAAAAACACAATCAAAAGGCCCTCATCAACACCAATGAAAAAAATAAAGTTTTTTTACAATAATTACTTTGTAAACCCGACATTAATGCAGCAAAAAACATGAAGCATACATTATCTTAAATAGCCAAAAAGAAAAAAAAAACCAACAAATCATAATTTGAATAAAAAACTTAAAAGATAAATGAAAACAACTTAATAATAGTGACCACTTATGCAACCAAAAAAATAAAAAATCATACATAAGTTATCATCTTAATAGGACCAACAAAGAATTAAAGTTTTTATACAATAATTAGACTATTAATCTGGCATTGATTCAGCAAAAACACTTTGAGCAAATCATCTTAATAGCAAAAAAAAAAAAAAACACTTGGATTGAAAACCCTGTAAAGGGAATACACCTTGTTAGTCCAACAAATCCACCAAGAAAACAGGAAGAATCATGGTGCTCTGAAATCATAAATGTCTTCAACTTAACTCCATCGTTAGATTCATACAACAAATAAAAAAAAGTAAAGGTAATTAATGTTATTCTTAACTTAACTATTAGCCCAATCATACAGCAATGGTATACTTAATCAGTGGACTTCATTTCTCTTTACAATTAATTGTAATCAGTAAATTAGTAAATCAGTAATCAGTAAATTGTATAATAGTAAAATTTCAGCCACTTACATAGTTGTCCCAACAGCTTAATATGCATTGCATTAATAGTAGCTAAAGGTATTCTCAATCAAGGGATTACTATGAATTAGTTTTTAAAAGCACTTACTACTATGAAGTAGTTTCTAAAAGCTCATCTGTTCACATAAATTAAATGAGTTCATCTGATAGTGGCTTATCAATTATTTGAATTGCTTGAGCTCGAGCTTGGCTCGAAATTAACTAAATCTAATTTGAATATTAATTGAGTCAAGCCTGAGTAGGTGGAATAGCTCACGAACAGTTTGGCTCACTTGTAGTCCTAGGATTGCACAAGAAAATGTGAATCTATGAATTTAACATGAGAAAATGGTAAATGTATTGTTGTTGGTTTTATTTTTATTTATTTATTTTATCTTGCCTCTATCTGTGTTTGTGTGTGTAACTGAAGTTTTAATTGTGGTTGGTTTTCTTTTCAATCTAATGTGCTGCTCATGTAGTATGATTATTATGAGAGTGGTGTATGTTATTGGGGTTGTTTTGTCATATTTAAGAAATTTCTTTTGTCTTATTTGTAGTGCCCAGATACCAATTATTTGTTCATGGGAGATTATGTGGATCGTGGATACTACTCTGTTGAGACGGTTACGGTAGGATTCTTAATAACGTAGGTTTATATCATACAAAAGAAGCACAGGAAGAATTATCTTGTTAACATTTCCTTTTCCTTTTTTTTTTTTTTTTGGGGGGGGGGGGGGGGGGGGGATTACTGTTATTTGGGGTTTAGAATTCTTTGCAATTGGTTTATTAGTATTCAGTTTGCTAAAAAATGCAACTCATATGGCTTATTTATTTTCCAGCTGTTAGTGGCTCTCAAGGTTCGTTATCCACAAAGAATTACAATTTTGAGGGGAAATCATGAGAGTCGCCAGGTATACACCTCCATATTGCTAAATAACACAATTATCATTTTCCTCTTAATGTCATACTCATTTATGGGCTCCTTCTTTCAGTGACTCGAATAATTCCATGATTTCCATCTATTGAAGTTCAATGATAGCTCGAATCATTTATGCTTTAGTGTTCTTAAAAAATGTTGGATTTTCCCTTTTGACTCTTCCATACTCTTAGTTTTCCTGTTACTATTACATAATTTAGATGAGTTGCTTGAATTGATTGCCTGACTTTCTTGCAGATTACTCAAGTTTATGGATTTTACGACGAATGCTTAAGGAAGTGAGTTTACTAGTCTTTCATGAACTATAATATTCATAGATGTTGCATTTTGTTCTGGGGATGGACATGTGAATGTAACATTCTTTGAATGGACAACAATTTCATAACTACCCTTTAAATTGGTGTTAAAAAGTGTGGATGTCTTTCTTTGAGTTAAATTCAATAATTGCTCTGGATTAACTATGCTGTGGATGTCTTTCTTTAAGTTCTCACAAAAGAAACAATGGTTATGATATGTAATCAACAGTTCTCTTTTTCACTTCTATTTGTTCTATGTATCTGTTATTTAATTACTAGTGACTAGTGTGTGGTACTCAGTCGGATATTAGGTAATACCAGTTAATTATAATTGAGACTTAATGTTTGATAGTTCTATGTTCTGGTCCTTATCTCATGATGGAAACTATTAACTTTAGGAAACTATAAGTAGTATTTGATCAAACATGTAGCACAGAAATTGATTTTATATTTATTAGGTTGGATATATAATCCAGTCTCTAAATATGCCATGCATAGTCACCTAAGAATGGCAAGAAGCAAATGATGGATAAAATATTACTATCACATATTTATGTTTCAAAACTACAATTAAGCTGGAATACACTTTGCAGTTTGGTCTTTTATGCTTCAAGGTGCATTAAATGGTATTTCTGATAAGTGTACATGTCTTCTGGATAAGTTCTTTTCTCAGTTTTTTCTCTTCTAATTATTTCTTCTTTTAAAGGTCTTATATTTGCAAACCTGTGTTGATTCACTGCAGTTGCATTTTACAGATATGGTAATGCCAATGTCTGGAAGACTTTCACAGATCTGTTCGACTATTTTCCACTTACAGCATTGGTGAGTACAACATCTCATTGTCTTGAATCTCTTATTTTGGGCCTCCCACCCCACATATATGTGGGTGTCACTTAGCTTGTTTTCCAAAAATTGAAATAGTGTTTACTGACTTGACCCATGGCATTAGTTGGAATGACATGAAATTCCAATTATCAGTCTCTCTGATGCTTGTTGCATAAAACAACCTCTAGGGGACTTGGAACGGTATGCAGTCATGTACATGCACGACTAGTTTGGCGCTTCATAATTAGTTTCCCAATTCCCATTAGCTGTGACTTTCAACTTGGGATGTCCCAATGTAGTGGCCTGTTGAATATCAATATTTCTTCTATAGTCCTGTTTTACCATTTTTTGAATGGTTAACAATTTAGGTTCCCACATGTGCATTACTGAAATGATAATTGGTAAAGAATGGGTTTCTAAAACTTTATGCCAATTTCAAGAGTGAAAAAATAACTACAAAGACGTGATGTATTTGACACTTCCACTGTCCCATTGCTATTGTCCAAACTGGCTGGGGTGTGGGTGTGCGTCTTCTTCTAACTTAATTTTTGATATTCAGAACTGCAAGAAAAGTAGTACTTAACTCCATCAAAATATCTAAAATTTAAAGAAATATGCCTTGGCTATTGGACAAAGTTGATCAGTTGATCCCCAAGAAGTGAAGAGTTGCAATAGAAATGTGAGGGAGTATTTGAAATTTGTGTGTCATGTCTTTCATATCATGCAGTGAATTTAATGTTGGTTAACAATATTGGTTTTCCAACCAACATGTATGTAAGTCTCTAGGTGTTACTCTTTGTACGTACACCTCTTAATAGTAATACCACAATTTACACTGAAGTTTTTGCATGTTCATGTTGGTAGCTAAGCTAGAGAATATTTATCATTTTGTTACTTAATTTACTGTGTCCATTGATGTAAATGTTCTTATCAGTCAGTTTCTGGTTGTGATTTTGCGTTTCCTATAAATTTGTTCTGTAGGTGGAGTCTGAAATATTTTGTCTCCATGGTGGTTTGTCTCCATCTATTGAAACTCTTGATAATATCCGTAATTTTGATCGTGTACAAGAAGTTCCACATGAAGGGCCAATGTGTGATCTTCTATGGTCTGATCCTGACGATCGTTGCGGTTGGGGTATATCACCTAGGGGTGCAGGATATACATTTGGCCAAGTAATTTTGAACTTCTATATCCTATTTTCACTTTTTGATCAATTTTAGTAGTTTGATAGCACTCCCGCATACTAATTACCTATTTTATGGTGTTATTTGAATTTAACAGGACATATCAGAGCAATTTAACCATACTAACAGCTTGAAGCTTATTGCTAGAGCACACCAGCTGGTTATGGATGGATATAACTGGGCTCATGTAATAATTTGTCTATAAGCAAATCTGTGTTTACTTCAATTTTCCATTTTTTTTGGACCCTAAATTTGCTTTGGTTTTGCAGGACCAGAAGGTGGTTACCATATTCAGTGCTCCTAATTATTGTTACCGATGTGGAAATATGGCGTCCATACTGGAAGTTGATGACGGCAACAAAGGGCACACTTTTATTCAGGTCTCTCTTCCCCATCCTTTATCTAAAGGATATGAGATTGTGTAATGAAATATTGAGTCTGAAACTATATATGGTGATTATATTGCAGTTTGAGCCAGCTCCGAGGAGAGGTGAGCCAGACGTAACCCGAAGAACACCAGATTACTTTCTATGAACTACAAGGTGACGTTGCACATCAGATGAGTCTCCTACGAATGGCTGTTTAGGAATTGAATTGACGGTTATAATTTTGCTATGGTGATGGTGGGGATGACATAAAGCATGTAGAAATGGCAGATGAAGGTTTTTAATTCTGTTATGTAGTAGTCTTACAGAGATACAATGAAATGAAGTAATTGAAGATGGCGAGACAACATTGCTGCTTGCTTAGCTTGTACCATTCATGCAAAGCTTGGTTTTGTTCTTTCTTCTTGCATATTTTTGTTGTTTATTGTAGTAGAAGGATAGAAGGAATGAAGGAATGATCATTTTCTCAATATTTTTTTGTCATTATTTTTTCCCTTTGTGGTTGCATTCTGTAGAGGGAGGAATATTATTAGCTTGTCTTAAATTCAGTTTGTTTAATCATTTGCTTTTTTTTTTCCTAAACCAGCTCGACGGTTCCCCAGCCATACTTTGCAGTAATCAATTGTTATATCGTGGGTCAGGTTTACCATGTACATTGTGGTTCCTGTCTAGATTATGTACATATAATTAATAAATTATGTATTTGTAGTTAATATATATTAGGGAAAATTGTAAAAAATGCTCCTCTATAATATGTCAATTATCAACGTCACCCCTGAATTATGAGTGGTGTAAATGTTGCCCTTCAATTATCAAAATGGTGCACATATAGCCCCTCCCGTAACGGACATGTGGTTCCCCACCGCTGCCCATCGCTGGTATTTCTAATCGAGGGAGGGAAAAAACAACTAAATTACATATTTACTCCGACTTAACAGTGTCGTACACTAACGAGGAACCACATCTCCATTACGGGAGGGGCTATATGTGCACCGTTTTGATACTTGAGGGGCAACATTTACACCACTCATAATTCAGAGGTGACATTGATAATTGACATATTATAAAGAGGCATTTTTTACAATTTTCCCTATATATTATGTACATGCAGTTGGCAAATTATATATGCTCAGTTTATATGTACATAGTATGTTAACCATAAATACATAATCTGAACTAGGGGTGTAAACGAGCCGAGCCGAGCCCGAGCCTGGGTAGGCTCATGCTCGTGCTCGTTAATGATTGCACTGCTCGAGCTCGAGCTCGAGCTCGTTCGAGCTTGTGAACTGATGCTCGAGCTCGAGCCCGGCAATTGTCGAGCTGCTCGAGCTCGAGCTCGAGTTTAGGCTCCAATTTGAGCTCAATTTTGATCTCAAATTTGACCTGTTTGATTTAAAATTTAAACTACTTTATTTTATTATTTTTATCCATACATAATTATTAAAGTATTTTAATTTCCCTCCCCTAATTATTATTTTTTATATACTAAATATAATATAATTATATTATATATTATATATTATATAATATATTATAAGGCTCGCGAACGGCTTGTCGAGCCGTGAGCTTACAATACCTAAGCTCGGCTCGTGCTCGTTTAATCCACGAGCTGCTCGAGCTCGAGCCGAGCTCGATTTTGACCGAGTTCGAGCCGAGCTCGATTTTGACCGAGTTCGAGCCGAGCGTTGACCGAGCCGCTCACGAGCGACTTGCGAGCAGCTTGGCTCATTTACACCCCTAATCTGAACACGGCTGTTTACAATGCTTATGGCAGATCACAGTTTATGATATAATTTGTGCACTAACTGAACTACTCTTGTAATCATTAACCTTTATAAGTGACTGGCAACTATTAAACATGCATTCCTTCCGTTTTCAATTCATAGTCTACAATATAATGGTTATAAGTAGCAACTTATTGAACATGTTATTAATTGCAAACAAATTGCATTAAACAATTAGTTATTGTTCAAAACATTTTACTATTACGAATTGAAGTGAACGAGCTAAAGCATAATCTAATAGATTATTACATGAAGAAATGAAAAAGTGAAATTTATTTAAACTATCTTATCTACTAGCCTTGAATTATTTAAAGTGCAATCCGTCCTATGCATCAAAGTAGAGTTAAAGCCCTGAAAACTGTAACCCAAAATCAGTTGTAAAAAAAAAAAAAAAGGATCATAACCAAAAAACAACATTTATTAATTACCATACCTAGTTTCTTCTTCTTCCACTCCTTGGTGTCTTTGACCTCTTTCTATTCTCATTCCTCATAGTTCTGAATCCTTCTTCTTCCATTCCTTTGTGTCTTTGACCTCTTTCTGTTCTTCAATTTCCTCAAAATTCTGCATCCTTCTTCTTCAACAAATTTAGTAATCCAATAGGGCTTTCGAGTTAAAAGCATGAGACCCCCCATTACCATTCCAAAAACACCACCACAACCATAGCCCAACAACACAACTTTCCAGGTACAACCATCTAAAATGCTCACATTGTCTTCTTGATGGAGCACTTCTAGGGTAGGTGATTGAGATGAGACACCATTCCCACAGTCTTTTGTCATTGGATATCCACGCAGGCCATCATTCCCTTCGTAAGAACCCTTATCAAATGTGTTGAATTGATTCCCCTTGGGTATGCATCCTGTAAGATGATTATGAGAGAGTTTGAAAACACAAAGAAATGTAAGAGGTGCCAACTCCTTTGGAATTTCCCCACCAAGCTGATTTGAGGAAAGGTCTAATGATTCCAACAAGGATAGTTTTCCAAAAGAACGGGGGATACTACCACACAACATGTTGTGCGATAAATTCAAACCTCGGAGGGAAAGAAGTTGTCCTATGGCCCCAGGAATTTTCCCTTCAAATTTGTTACTTCAGAGATCAATGGTGGTGTACAGAGTCAAGAGTTTTTCAAAATTAAGTTGGCTTCCTTTCCACACCAACACTAAAGAGTCAAGGTAAACACAGTCAAGATTTTTACAAAATTAAGCTCGCTTCCCTTCCATGTCAACTCCAAAGTGTCTTTGTAGTAGCTGTTTTCTTGATCCCCAAAATAACTCGGTGGCTTTCTATCTTCATCGGTGTTTTTCATAGCAGTAAAGCTCTTGAACAACCAAACCGGCAAATTCCCAGTAAACTCATTGTGGGAGAGATCAATGATCTTTAGTTGAGAAGACAAGTGTTTAGTTGGTGAAGTGGTTATGGTGCCATGGAAGTGGTTAGATCTCAGACTAAGTACCTGTAATTTTGGGAGTGTTAACAGCCACTCGGGGAATATATTGCTCAATTTGTTTTCTCCAAGATCAAGAACTACCAAATTAATACAACTGGCCAAGGATTGTGGAATTCTTCCTTCCAACTTATTTCCTCTCAAATTAAGAGTATGTAACTGATTTGCTGTGTAAAAAGTTGAAGGAATGGAACCACGGAATTCATTGTTATGCAGGTCCAGTATCTCCAAAAACTCGCTAGAGTTTCCAAGACATTGCAGGATTGCACCACTTAAATTGTTATTGGCCAAGACTAGAATTTGAACAAAGATTAAATTGCATACACTGAAAGGTATCTCTCCACTGAGTTTGTTTTGTGATGCAAAATAAAATGTTATGAAGGGAGATGATGGAATGGGAAGTGGCCCTTCTAGCAAGTTGAATTGGAGATCAATAGTTCGAATTGAATGAAGTTCAATTCCTTCCACACTAGTGATGTGGTTGTGGGATAGATTAAGATACAGCAACATGTCCTGCCAGTTTGACCATGCCCATTCTGGAATTCTCCCTTGTATTTGATTGTTGGAAAGATCTAGAACCATCAGGAACTTTGAATCTCTTAAAAAATTCAAATTCGTCAAATTGCACGAGACTAACTTCAAGATAAAGAGGCTTTCAGACCAACTTGTATAGTTGGTTTTGCCATTGGAGACTACTGATAGGCGGTTGTCAGATAGATCTAGAAGTGTTAGTCTTTTGACGTATGAGAACATGTTGAGCTCTACAGTACCGCTGAAATTGTTGGATGAAAGGTCAAGGAAGATCAGATTCTTGTGTTTTGAAAGTGATGTTGGAATGGGTCCTTGGAGATGATTATATCCAAGCTCAAGATAGTATAGAGTAGAATGATTTAAAAGCCAAGAGGGTACTGTTCCATAGAGTGAATTGTGTGAGAGATCTAAGGCCTCCAGATGAGTAATGTTTGTGATGGAAGACGGAAATTGGGCAGTGATGTTGTTATCAGAAAGAAGTAACTTTTTCAACCTCCAGAGCTTTATAAACAAATCAGCAAAGCCACCTTCCAAATTGTTATCAGAAAGGTCTAATGCTGTGAGTTGCTCAAGATCTAAAATAGTCTCTGAAACTTTACCACTTAATCCACAGTTTGCTAATCCCAAATACTTGACTCTGCTAAGATTCCTAAGAGATTCAATAATGCTTGGAGGACATCTAGTATAGCCGAGATCCAAATATGAGAGAGACAAACTACTGTTCCATCTGGTGCTTGGAAAGCGAATTGTGAGATTCTTGTTGCCTTTTAAAAAAAGTTTTTGCAAGCTTGGGAGGTGAAAGATGTTTGAGGGCAAACTTCCTTTTAATTCTGTGTCACAAAGGCTCAAAGTTGTTATGAGAGAAGAGACATTAGGTGGTATAGTTGAATGGATGGGTATTCCATCCAGAACTAATTCCCTTAACTGTGTTGTGTTTAGAAGGAGAAACATGAAATCATGATTTCCAATTTCTAAACGAGAATAATAGTTCAAAGAGTCACCTAGATCAAGAGAAATTAAGTTGGGAAGATATAAGATTTCTGAAGGAATTTGACCTGACAATCCTGAGCTTGAAAGGTTGAGATGTGTCAGATAAGAAAAGTGTCCAAATTTATGTGAAATGAATGACCCATCGAATTGATTCCATGCAAGGTTTAACTTTCGTAGAGAAGAGAGGTGAAAGAGAGTGCTATTGGAATCAATTTTTCCTTGAAGTCGACTGCAACTGAGATCAAGCTCAATCACTTGGCCTGTGGACTCATCACACGTAACTCCATCCCACAAGCAGCAATCGATGCTACTATTCCAAGAAATGGTTTTTGGATAGGAATTCTGGACACCGTCATAGGAATTATGGTGAATAATGGAACTCAGGACACAATAATCTACTGGCAAGGTATTTATCTTAAAGGATTGTTTGAAATGGAGTAGGGCAAGACGTTGATCATTTTGGCACAAAGTAGATGTAGATAAGGAAACAGAGGAAATTAAAAAGAGGAGACACTGTATTACAAGTAGCAAGAGAATGATTAGAAGTTGGCTACCCATTTGCCTAAATTTCAAGCAAAGGAAGTTGAAGGCAGAAAGTGTATATGATTTTATCAAAATAGGCCTACATATTTATAGATGGCAAATTATGCTATGAGTAAGTGCCCACCTTGCGAGGTGGGCACGGTTCCATATCCATAATTTCTATACTGTAAATTCATAATTTCTATATTGTAGATTCATAAAATTTATAATTTAGATTCCTATTGTTGAACTCTGTTTTCACAAATCATAGAACAATATGTTCATAATTTGATAACTATACAGTTTAGAAATTATGAATTTACAGTACAAAAATTATGAATCTTCAAAACAGATATTATGAATCTGCAGTATAGAAATTATGAATATACTATATAGAAATTATGAATTTACTGTATTTAAATTATGATTCTACAGTATAGAAAATATGAATCAACAGTATATGAATTATGAATCTACAGTATAAAAAATATGAATCTACAGTATAGAAACTATGGAACCGTGCCCACCTTATAAGGTAGGCACGTGCTCATACCATAACGTTCCTTTATAGATAGTGTTATTTGTCTTCAAGAAATGGGAAGACTAGCAAGATTTCTATTTATGATCACATTTTTTCTTTTGCCTTAAGCTAAGGGTTACATATATTATAATTATGTTGTATGGAAAATTAGTAATATTAGCCTAATCTGATCAAGAATTTATGAATTTAAAAAATGTAATGACTAATTTTATATTCATAAAATAGCGTTAAAAGATTTTATAGCCAAATATATAATTAAGTTTAAAACTCAATGCCAAGATCTTATGGCCTAATGACACCTGGTTTGGATTCCCATATAGGAGGTTGTGAGTTTGAGCTTCACAGATACTATATTGTAATAGAGTTACTAACATTCAAAAAAAAAAAAAAAAAAAAACAAAAGTTTGAAACTCAATACGAAACTCACCATTTTCCTTATATTTACAAAAAGATTTTCTTTTAAAAACTTGCAATTAATTAAAGAAGGGTATAGTACTCCTAATTATTGTTACCGCGGGATGTGGAAATATGGCATCCATACTGGAAGTTGATGACTGCAACAAAGAACACACTTTTATTCAGGTCTCTCTTCATTCCCCATCCTTAGCTTTATCTGAAAGGATATGAGATTGTGTAATTAAATATTAAGTCTGAAACTATATATGGTGATTATATTGCAGTTTGAACCAGCTCCCAAGAGAGGTGAGCCAGACGTAACCTAAAGATGGCGATGGTGGGATGACATAAAGCATGTAAAAATGGCAGGTGAAGCTTTTTAATTCTGTAATGTACTAATCTTACAATGAAATGAAGTAATTGAAGATGGCGAGACGACATTACTGCTTGCTTAGCTTGTACTATTTCATGCAAAGCTAGCTTGGTTTTGTTCTTTTTTTCTAGCATATTTTTGTTGTTTATTGTAGTAGAAGGAATGAAGGATGAAATAGTAGTTGAATTAGAATTATATTGTACCGAGTGTTGCTGTAATGAAAGTACAAAAATTAAAAACGGTGCCGTTTGACGATGGTCCATGTGGACCACAGACCCACATTCCACAATAAAATTTATTTTACAATACAAAATGGATCGAGGAAAAGTTTATAATAAGATCGATTGAATGATAAAACATTCTTACAATCAGACACTGAAACAAATTTTCAATGCTACACAAAACTTGATTAAAATGTATTAATCAAACACCAATTGTTATGAGGTGGACATGGTTCTATGTTCATAACTACTGAACTTTATGTTCATAATTATAAAACTCTATGTTCATAATTTTTAAACTCCATATTCACAATTATTGAACTTTATATTCACAATTACAGAACTCTATGTTCATAATTACTGAATTCTATATTTATAATTACTGAACTTTATGTTCATAATCACAATTATTGAACTCTATATTCACAATACAGAACTCTATGTTCATAATTATAAAATTCTTTGTTCATAATTTTGAACTCTATATTTACAATTATGACAATTTTGAAACCGTGTCTACCTTGCAAGGTGCACACACAACATAATTTGCCATCAAACACTCCCCTTACCAAAAATAAAAAATAAAAAATTCAAACACTCCGTGTTTGACTCGTCGAATTTGTGTAGTCTTTGAATGCCGACAAAACCTCCAAATTAAAGTCATTTGTTCAAAGTCTATAAAACGTTCAGTTGACGGCAGTAAGAGTGCAGTATTTTCCCTTCCCCTAAGCATAATTGCAAACTACAAAACATTGGTTAAAGTGTAGTCATCGTGTTTGACACGTCCAATTAATGTAGTCATTTTCACCAGAAGTTTAATTGTTATTGTAAATCATGGTAACTCAGCTGAACACAGAACTTAGACCTTTGTTTATTGCGCATAAGGAGCATCACAGTTTGAGAGATTGTACTTTGAGAGGTTACTTTCACATTATTATTGGTAAGGTTCGAGCTCGGATCATTATTCTTAAATTTTGCTCTTGCGATCAATTGAGTTGTTCATACAGACAAGATAGAAGCTTAATTGAACACTACAAAATTAGTCTTGAATGAGAGGGAAGGCGTTTAAAAGGGCCTTAAGCAAATTAAAATGATCTGACCACATTAAAACGTTATTAATCTTATTTAATTATTTGCTTAAAATTATAAGTATTTTACTATTAAGAATTTAGTTTTTTAGATGACGGACTACTACCAGAGAGTATGCACAAGGTAAACTCTACTCTTATTTAATAATTTTAAAAATCACAAAGGAAATAAATTGCACTAGAAAGACCATATGCGACAAAATCAGAGCTGATTCATTTTAATTACACTTCTTGTCTATATTATCCAATTTGATTTTATACACATTATAGGTTCATTATAGTAACATTAAAATATCATTTAAATTTTACTACATGTTCATTTGATAATATACATATCTATAACATGATATGCGGTAAGGACAATTGTTTCTTTTTAATTATTTGCGTGGACCATGATCCACCATATAACGATTGATGGTTCCCTTCTTTTCCCAAAATGTTGAGTCCACCCCGGTCCCGACAGAGCATTTGAAAATATGTAAATCACGGTGACTCAATGGCTCAACAAACAAAATCAAGTGTCGGTGCGCACAAGGGATCTGCCCACTTTGAGAATAATGCCCCAAATACTGTCTATTGAACCATTGAGCTAAGCCCGTGAGGGCTGATTGATAGTTCCCATAGCGGTAAATTATGTTGTGCATCCGTATGCACCATATATGGTGCATACGGATGCAAAAACGACGTCGTTTTATTAAAAACGCGCGTCTCACTTAAAAAAAAAAATTCAGTTTCGATTCCCAGCAACAATATTATATTGTGCATAATTTGAACTATATATCTAGAATCAATGAACTAAAATTCCCGAATCGATGAACTAAAATTCCAGAATCTATGAACTAAAATTCCAAAATCTATGAATTAAAATTCCAGAATGAATGAACCAAAATTCCAGAATCTATGAACTAAAATTCCAGAATGAATGAACCAAAATTCCAAAATCTATAAACTAAAATTCCAGAATGAATGAACTAAAATTCCAGAATCTATGAACTAAAATTCCAAAATGAATGAACTAAAATTCCAGAATCGATAAACTAAAATTCCAGAATCTATGAACTAAAATTTCAGAATCTATGAACACATAATGCTGTTGAGGGGAATCGAAAGTGATTTTTTTTTTTTTTAAGTAGGATGCGTGTTTTTAATAAAACGACGTCGTTTTTTGCATATGTCATGGTGCATACGGATGCACAGCATAACGATCCTCCCATAGCCATACCATGCGCCATTGAGCTAAGCCCGATTGATAGTTCACATAGCCATATCATGCGCCATTGAGCTAAGCCCGTGAAGGCCGATTGATAGTTCCCATAGCCATACCATGCTATTAAACTTCAGTATTCAATTGCAAAGTCTGAATTTATAACATGTACATTTTGATTTATGCCTTGTATAATAATAAGACATTTTCAAATTTATCATTTTTCACTTTATACTTTTTCATTTGTTTAGAAACTATATTAACGAAATATTGCGTACTCATGATTATTTACAATGTAGTATATGTTCTATGCATCCATTTAAAATGGTAACTGGGATATCATCACTCTTCATAGTAATTGGCTTATTCTTAATTAACTTACTCATTGCAAAATATTTTCTAACATAATAATAATAATAATAATAATAATAATTATTATTATTATTATTATTATTATTATTATTATTATTATTATTATTATTGTTATTATTATTAGTATTATTATTATTTTTTATTATTATAACAACAACAACAACAAGAATAATGATGATGAGCATTTTTTTTTTATATTATTACTAGTTTTACAAGCGCATTGCGTGAATGGATTAATGTCTAATATTTATATTTAAATAAATATTTAAAAGTATATCAATTCAATATTATATAGGACTATAGCAGAAGTTCATATATAGGTAATTAAATGTCGAATTTATTTATTTAAATATGTAACTCAAAGTATATGAATGCAAGATAATATAGGAAATTCATTATAATTGTCATTATAATAAATGTTTGTAACTTTGTAAAGTTGATTGTCTAAATACTTGGTCAGGTCTCTCATATTCAGGAAATTGATGACTGCAAAGGACACACTTTTATTCAGGTCTCTCTTCCCCATCCTTAGCTTTATATGAAAGGATATGAGATTGTGTAATTAAATATTGAGTCTCAAACTATATATTGGGAAGGAGCCAGTTGTCACCTCCAACAGCCATGCAGCACCACCGACGAACTCTGAGACAGCTCCAGCGTCGTCAAGGCTAGGGGGGCAGTCCGCATCAGTCTCCGCCGTGCGCACTCCAGCTGCTGCGTCGTTTCCAGCCAGCGTTGCTGCCAGCTCGTTGGGATGTCGCCCGGCACTGTGTACCATCACCTTGAGGACAAGGTGATTTTGATGGGCGGGGAAATGATACAAGTGTTGCTGCAGTTATTATTATTATTATTATTATTATTATTATTATTATTGTAGTAGTGGGATGACCACTTCCTTAGGTAGTTAGAGCACTTTAAGGTAGTGGGTAGTTTTTATCTTCTATAAATAGATGCCTAGGTATTAGAAGAAGGGACATCTGGGAACTTTGTATGTTGGGCTTCCTATTAAATGGAAGATTGGGGGAGAAGAAGCACTCTATAAAAAACGGTTCATTTGGGGGAGAAGAAGCACTCCAAAAAAACGCTTCATTTGGGGAGAAGAAGCACTCCAGAAAAGCTTCGTTTTTATTCCTAAGTTTCTAAGCCTGTGACGCGATCCTAAATATCCTGGCCTATAACATTGGCCAAGTCTAGAAGATTAACATAGCTTAAATTGCATACAGTGAAAGACAACTCACCATTGAGTTTGTTTTGTGATGCAAAATAATAGCTTAAAAAGGGAGCTGATGGAATAGGAAGTGGCCCTTCTAGCAAGTTGAAGTGGAGATCAATAGTACGAATTGAATGAAGTTTCATTCTTTCCACACTAGTGAGGTGGTTGTGGGATAGATTAAGATACTGCAATGTGTATTGCCAGTTTGACCAAGCCCATTCTGAAATTCTTCCTTGTATTTTATTGTTAGAAAGATCTAGATACTCAAGCGACTTAGAATCTCTTAAAAAATCCAAATTCGTCAAATTGCACGAGACTAACCTCAATTCAATGAGGATTTCAGACCAACTGGTAGTGTTGGTTTTGCCACTGGAGACTACTGATAGGCTGTTGTAAGAAAGATCTAGACTTACAATTCTTTTGAGGATTGAGAACATGTTGAACTCTACAGTACCGCTGAAATTGTTGGATGAAAGGTAAGGGAGAACAAATTCTTGTGTTTTGAAAGTGAGGTTGGAATGGGTCCTTGGAGTTGATTATAACTGAGGTCAAGTAAGTACAGAGTAGAATGATTAAAAAGCCAAGAGGGTACTGTTCCATAGAATGAATTGTTTGAGAGATCTAAGACCAGCAGATGAGTAATGTTGGTGATGGAGGACGGAAATTGGGCAGTGATGCTGTTATCATTAAGAAATAACTTTTTCAACCTCCAGAGCTTTATAAACAGATCAGCAAAGCCACCTTTGACCTTCCAAATTGTTATCAGAAAGGTCTAATACTGTGAGTTGCTCAAGATCTAAAATAGTCTCTGAAACTTTACCACTTAATCCACAGTTTGCTAATCCCAAAAGCTTGAGTCTGCTAAGATTCCTAAGAGATTCAATAATGTTTGGAGGACATCTAGTATAGCTGAGATCCAAATATGAGAGAGACAAACTACTGTTCCATTTGGTGCTTGGAAAGTGAATTGAGAGATTTTTGTTGTACTGCAAACAAAGTTTTTGCAAATTTGGGAGGTGAAAGATGTTTGAGGGCAAACTTCCTTGTAAATCTGTGTCAGAAAGGCTCAAAGTTGTTATGGAAGAAGAGACAATAGGTGGTATAGATGAATGGATGTCTAATCCATCAAGAACTAGTTCCCTTAACTGTGTTGCATTTTGAAGGAGAAACATGAAATCATGATTTCCAATTTCTAAAAAAGAATTGTAGTAAGAGTCACTAAGATCAAGAGAAATTAAGGTGGGAAGATGTAAGATTTTTGAAGGAATTCGACAACACAATCCTGAGTTTGAAAGGTTGAGATGTGTGAGAAAAGAGAAGTCTCCAAATCTATCTGAAATGGATGACCCATCGAATCGATTCCATGCAAGGTTTAACTTTTGTAGATGAGAGAGGTGGAAGAGAGTGCTATCGGATTCAAATATTCCCAGAAGTAGACCGCAACTAAGATCAAGCTCAATCACTTGGCCTGTGGACTCGTCACATGTAACTCCATCCCACAAGCAACAATCAATGCTACTATTCCAAGAAATCGTTTTTGGATAGGAATTCTGGACACTTTCATAGGAATTCTGCTGAATGGAACTCTGGACACAATAATCTATTGGATTGGTATCTATTTTTAAGGACTGTTTGAAATGGAGTAGGGCAAGACGTTCATCATTTTGGCACAAAGCATATGCAGATAAGGAAACAGAGGAAATTAAAAAGAGGAGACACTGTGCTACAAATAGCAAGAGAAGGATTAGAGGAAGTTGGCTACTCATTTGCTTTAATTTCAAGTAAAAAATGTTGAAGGCAGAAAGTTTCTATGATTTTATTAAAATTGGCATCGCTATTTATAGATAAACTTATTTGGCTAACAAGATTAAGTTTGAAACTCAATACGAAATTCACCATTTTCCTTATATGTAAAAAAAATTAAAGATTATCTTTTAAAAACTTGCAATTAATTAAAGAAGGGAATAGAACTCCTAATTATTGTTACTGATGTGGAAATATCAAATATGGCATCCATATTGGAAGTTGACGGCATTGCTGCTTGCTGAGCTTGTACCATTTCATGCAAAGCTTGATTTTGTTCTTTTTTCTTGCATATTTTTGTTGTTTATTGTAATATAATGCAAGGATCATTTGCTTAATATTTTCTTTTTTTTTTTTTTATAATTTTTTTTTCTTTGTGGTTGCATTCTGTAGAGGGAGGAATATTATTATCTCTTAATTTCAGTTTTTTTAATCATTTGCATTTTCCCAAAACCAGCTCTTCTGCTATTGTTATATCACACAGCAGGACGCATAATGCATTGAGCGTCCTAAAAATCATATGTTTCGTATGTGTAGTCACCAAGTGGCCGAAAGTACCTAATTAGGCACTTTACCTAGTGCTTAATAGCACTCTTACAGTGGTTTAATTTGCACTTCAAAGTGCCAAATTAAATTGCACTTTCCATTAGTGCTACAAAAGCACTATCTACCAAAACACAATTTGTCTCAAATTAAATATACTAGTATAATTTGGAATTTTTGATCAAGTTAATTATAACACAATTAACAAAACCAAATCAACCAAATTTCCAAAACTAGTTGAACCAAACTCATATAGTCGTTCTTAGAATATTATATAAAATATTCAAACACTTGAGCTGTGACGCTCACGATTATATAGTTATCCCAATTTTTTTTTTTTTTGACAAATTAATCCTATTTTGAAATCTGTATCGTTCAACATGAATTAGAACCGAAGTTCTTTACAGGATTTCAATATGTAACACGCTTGTTACATTTTGTTCCGGCCGTTAAGCCATTTTAGCATTTTCCACATAATGCTCCGTGATGCACTACGCACCCTTATTGAATCTTATATATATATATATTAAAAATATCACACAAGAATATTTTGAAATATACAAAGTTCAATACACAAATGGAACAATTCATTTTATTCAACAATAAAATGTATCACAAGGATACTACAACATTTATTTAACAAATAAATAAATAGAAAAAATTACATTGGAAACCAATTTCCATTATTCCTATGTAGTAGTCCTTCGAACCCGTGTGCCTTGTTCCATTCTCAACCGTCCACTCCACAACGGGTGGTCCATAGCGCACATCGGGGGTACCTCGGTTGTGACCTCACTCGTCCAACCATCCACACGTTTGAAACATAGCGAAATTGTCCTCAACCTTTTCACCAGGATGACGATTCGCTTCATATTGGCATTTCTCCTTCTTCTCATAATCTTCTTGAAAGCTAAGCTTCCGCTTGAGTTTCCTTCGATTACGGTTGAAGTCATTGGTAACACTGCCATAGTCCACAGACCATGTAGTCATTACGCCATCATAGGATCCTTCGTGGCTTTTAGCCGATCCGTTAGACAACACAATAGGTACCAATTGTGTGTCACCAGCCACAGGTCTACCGGTTCGTGAACCAAAGTTCTCCGGAGCACCATCGTGTGTCTTTGCAACTCCCATGGAAATATCATTTCCAACGTTGCTGCCATCAACTGGCATCACATGTGCAACATCGTTGCCATTCTGACCATTTGAATGTGCACCTCCGGCAACATTCACGGATCCAATACTCTTGGAATCCAACGATTTGTTCATTATCAAAAGAAATAAGGTTTTAAGATTGTTGGTGATAATGAACCACAATGAATTTAATATCCCAAAAATAATATTTATATATATACACACACAAGTATATAAAATATTATTGGATATTTATCCGAAATATATATATACACACACATATATATAAAACGGATCCAAAGGTTATATATACATGTATATCTACGAAAAAGATATACCAATATATATATCAACCAAAATTGAAACTAATAATCCTCAGCTTATAAGTCCAATCCAACTAATATGTCAAAAGATGGAGAACGGATTTTTGCTTAAAAGCATAATCCAAAACAAGAAAGAAGAAGAAAGAAAGTACGAGTTAGGCAAAGTGTCTGTCTTTCCTTAAAACCTTGTTTGCCACCTCCCAGAAGTGCTAGGAGCGTTGTGGCCTAGGTTTCCCAGGATAAAACGTACAACGGTTCGACGTTTGAGCACCCAAACGAACGAACCCGGCGAACAAGAGCACGGGCAAAACATAGCTTCAAGAATGGAGTAGGAGCAAAGTTTTTGAGAAGAAAAAGTGCTTATCTTTGTGTGTTGTGTACTCTCGTGTTCTTCCCTCACTTGTTGTCTCTCACTATACAGTTCAAAAGACCTCTACTCCCACTACACTCTTATATAGGAGGTTGGTACTTAATAGCATCATCATGACACATTAACCAACATAAATTCAATTTAAAAATTGAATTATAACGTTTGAAACGGTTGTACTTATTATCGAAATAATATCAACGGTCACGAACTTAATATCCGATTAATTCGTACCGACCATAACGACCTGGTTCAAAATATCTGAGTGACCAAGAAGTTCGTACAAACCCGAAAATTTAACGAATTGGGACCAGAAACCACACCCGAGTGGTCCCCAAACACCGAAACGATGTAACACGAATCAATGCATATAACATTGATTCGTGCTCACTGAATCTAAAACCCACGAAAGGAGCACAAAACTTCAATTCCATGCAGCATTCGTCCATGCATATTTCCCAATCCAAAGCTTAATTAAGCTTTCAAAAATAAAGGAACATTCGTGCATGCATATTTCCAACATTCCCAATTTCAAAGCTTTATAATTAAGCTTTCAAAGCTTAATCCACTTAAGCACCAACTTTCGTACAGTGCAACAAATGTTATTAGAATACTAATTTTAATTAGCATCTAAACTTAAGTTTTTGACTTCTTTCAAATAGGTTCACTTTGAGTATCAATTTCTCATTCACCTATTATCCATTTTGAGCGTACATTATATCAAATTCTTCGTCTCACTACGAAGAACCCGAATCCACATTGACCCGACCCAAATCAGAAGTGGATCCCAAATATATTTGTACTACAAAATAATCACTCAAAATATCATTTTAATGCTATTTTTCCAACATGAGGTTCACGTATTTGGAAACAAATTGGGTGAGTCGTCTTCTGTGATATCATCTCATAAATCTTTATCCTTTGAGAGGATAGTATCAAAATATAAATATAATGCATACATATATTGAATAATATAATATCAATCATGAATACAATGCTTATTACTTACAAGGAAATTGTAATACTGTTAAAAAAAATGTAATATTTTTAAATTAAAATTTAATATTTAATTTAAGAATTGAACAAGTTAGTTATGAGAAAAAATTACAATATTAATAATGAATAAATTCATTAATTAGTAAAGTTTTGGCCCATAACGAGTAAAGGAGGCATTAGGCTTGGAAGGTGAGCAATAGTTATGCTGTGGAAACGTGTTCACGATACGCATGGTGAACACAGTGGTAGATTCATAATTTCTATATTGTAGATTCATAATTTTTCAATTTTTTAATTTTTTGAAAGCGTATATTCATAATTATGTTTTTCATTTGTTGTTAACGGGATAGATCCATAATTTCTAAGCTGTAGATTCATAATTTCTATATTGTAGATTCATAACATCTATACTGTAGATTCATAATCTATGTACTGTAGATTCATAATTTCTATACTGTAGATTATAATTTCTGTACTGTAGATTCTTAATATCTGTAACAACAAATTAAAAACAAAATTATGAATCTACGTTTTCAACAAAAATAAAAAATAACAAATTATGGATCTACAGTATAGAAATTATGGATCTAACCCTGTGTTCTCCATGCGCATGGTGAACACGTTTTCACAACATAATTTGCGGAAGGTGAGGTAGCAAATTAAAAAGAAGTAAAAGGTATAACCAACAAACCAAGCTACTCAATTCTCATCTACAAAGGCACAATCGATTATACATATTCAAGTGAATGGCGATGTGGCAAATAGTGGGGTACATATGTATGGTCAAGAATGAAGACAAACCAAAGTCGTACACTTGTCAAGCATCTGGAAGGTTTCAACACTATATAAGGGGCCTCATGTCTCCCTTTAGACATGACCCCTTGGACCATTACAGCACTCCTAGCTTAGTGGCTGGTGGTCCTAACTTTCAACCCATAAACTAGGGATAGGCCAGTTAGGTTTGATTCCTAACTACGATATTATCATTCCTAGTCCCCTATTAGAATTTTAATATTTTTTTTTAACCATTGTCTAGGGCATTTGATTGCGGTATTTTGGGGCAAACAAATAATACCCGGAGTATTCGGGTTGTCGAACCACAAGGAGATGGGGTACTAAGCACTAGCTACTAAGTTACTCATATGAAACTAGTCTGAACGAAACTTTAAAGTTGGGTAATCGTAGAAAATAACAAGCAGAATAAAATAAATGACAAGGTTTTGTAAACAATAGAGCAAAACGGGATTCTTGGGATCACAATGTTTAATCATCTAGTGCCAATTAATGTTTGTAATATTTAGTTTGGAATTAAGACTTATATGGGAATGCAAAGTGGAATAGAATTACTCCCGTAATTTCTACCACTATTGAATTTCCACTCCCGTGGCTTAAACACCCGATAAGATCGAAGATCAGCATTCAATTATTCCCAATTACTACCATCTCTCGATGCGCAACAATCTAGAATAAGATCCCCCCAATAAATTCCCCTTTCCCAAGGTCCAACCATTAGGTGCAATCGTGTGTACCCTAATTTATGCCCCAACTCTCGTTGGTGACACAAATGTTGGGTAATATGGTTCAAAATCCCAAAAATAAT